GAAAATCATCTTTAAAGTTGTTCAAATGAAGTTCTTAGCAATGCATATTACTAATCAAACATTAAGTTTTGATATATTTACGGTAGAAAATTTACAAACTATCTTCTTGGAACATGATCTTTACTTAATATCCTAATGATTTTTTGCATAAAAGAGAAATGTATAATTGTGACCCATACAATGTGTTGTTGGTTATTGCTACAAATATCCCCCAGCGACTTAACACTGCTTTTGTGCTGCAGGGTCACATATATGTTAATGTAAATTTTTTTATATATAGATAGAATACCTTATTAAAAAGCCTTAAAAAGACGATATATTTTATAATTTTCAATAATAATAATTATTAATAAAAAAATTATACATAAAAATAATATTAATAAAATATATATTTATATTATTAATAATATAATATAATATTAAAAATAATACTAATAATTATTGGTAATTATTTTAAATTATGCATTTAATGAGATTGCATATGAAATATGCATATGCATTTGTAAGTCACTTTGAATAAAAGCGTCTAATAAATGACTAAATAAAAATAAATAAATAAATATGATATGAACATATAAATATAAAACAGTGTTATTTATTCATTATGTATTTTCTTTCTGCAGCACGTGTGAATCAGGAAAGCTGGTGGACTGTACAAGTGTGGAGTGTGACGGTAAGAAGTTTAGAGATGCTCTTGTGTCTGTCACACACTCTCTGATGTGTGTGTGAGACTCTGTGTGTGTGTGTGTGTGTGTGTGTTTCAGTGGATGGCGGCTGGTCGTCCTGGACTCCGTGGAGTGTGTGTTCTGTGACGTGTGGCGCTGGTCTGCAGTCGCACTATCGCTTCTGTTCGGATCCGGAGCGAGCTGGGAACGGACTGCCCTGTGTGGGACCAGACCGAGAGGACAGAGTGTGCTCTTCAACACCCTGCAGCCGTGAGTGAGAGAGAGATATACAGTATATATAGTCAGACCTAAATTCATTCAGACACCTTCAACATTTCTCACATTATCAGTTTATTCGCTATAGTTTAGAAAATGGTAATAACATATGACAAGAACTCAGAGTTAAACTGTGTCAGAGCAAACTGATCTTGATAATGTCAGATAACTTTGATAGAAAGGTATGTAATGAATTCGGTTGAATAGCTGTCAGCTGTTAAATTTAAGTATACTATTAGATAATACCAATTTAGCTCAACCAGTTACCAAGCAGTGCTTCATTTTGTTCAGTCCGTCTGTGGTGTAAAAATATCGCATTAGCAATTAAAGAAAAGCACTTAAGCAAAACATGGTCAGGTCAAAGTGTCTGAATAATTTTTGGCCCCAACTTTTTATCAATTATACTGGTAGTCCACTATATGAAGAATTTTTGGGTATAATATGTCACTGTTTACTTTATTTTGCTATCCTCACTTAACATAAATTAACTATATGTCCTGCACACACTAGAAAAAAATATTAAAAAGTATAATAATATAATATAATATAATATAATATAATAATTTATTTAAATTTATATATATATATATATAGACATAATATATTATATATAATTATATAATTATAAATAAATATATATAATTTATACAAACACACACAGATGCAACAAAAACTATAAGAGTATAAATAAAACCAAAACAACAGTGATTTGCAAGAATATGAAGACTGCTTTAAATGTCAGATTGGTTTGTGTTGTTGTGTCTGCAGGAGACGGAGGCTGGAGTGACTGGTCGTCCTGGACAGACTGCAGTAAGTCGTGTGGTGGAGGAGTGAAGAGCCGCAGACGGGACTGTGATCGGCCCGTCAGAGGAGGAGACGGAGACTATTGTGAAGGACTGGGAACGGAAGTCATCCTGTGTAACACACACCACTGTCCAGGTGTGTGTGTGTGAGTGTGTGTGTGTGTGTGTGTGTGTGTGTGTGTGTGTGTGTGTGTGTGTTCACATGTATATTAGATGTTAATTCTGAACTCTGTCTCTAGTGTCATCATGTTCACACGTGCCAGGAAGTGTGTTCAGCGCCTGCGGACCCTCGTGTCCACGATCATGTGACGACCTCACTGTGAGTAAAAGAACTAAACGTCATATGAAGTTAAAAATCTGTGTATTTTATAGTGTATTTGTAATATGAAAGTAAATGGAAGGGATGGATAGATTATAATACATATATGAATATGTAAATACATTTTGATATATTTTATAGATAGATTGAAATTTCATTGTGCATTTAATAGTAAAATGAATATATACTGTAAATACATATAAAATGCTAATATATTTTATAGATAAATATAAAATAATTAAAGACCATATATATAGTTTTTTAACAATTAATAATATTTTTACCATGCATTTAAGAATAATACATGTAATATGAATAAGTAAATATAAAATATGTTAATATATTTCTAATAATATATTTTAAGATAGATAGATAGATAGATAGAAAGATAGATAGATAGATAGAAAGATAGACAGATAGATAGATAGATAGATAGATAGATAGATAGATAGATAGATAGATAGATAGATTGTCTATCTTTTACTTGTCTAGAAAAATCCATCTTGGTTTAAGCATTTTTAGATATCTTGGCTGGAAACAAGAAAAAAAAATCTAAGTAAGAAAAGCATTTTTTGCAGTGTACATGATGATATCTAAATAAATACATTTTTATAAAACTTTTATAGAGAGAGACAGAATAAAATCTTTGAAAACAGAATGTATATTTAATATCTTTTAACAATTAATAATATTTGTTTTAATATGCATGTAAGAAAAATACATATAATGTGTATATATAGTACATATAAAATATTTTAATATATTTTATAGATAGTTTTATTATGCATTTAAGAATAATATGAATATATACGTTTAGAGATATAATACAAGTATATACATTTATGAATATATTTTATAGATGGAAAGAGCAAAATAATTGAAAAATATAAATATTCATATACAGTATTTTAATAATTAATTACTAATGATTATTGTATTATGCATTTAATAATAATGCATTTAATATGAATATATAAATACATATAAAATATGTTAATATATTTCATAGATAGATAGATGACAATGATGTTGTGTGTGTGTGTGTGTGTGTGTGTGTGCGTGTGCGTGTGTGTGTGTGTGTGTGTGTGTGCGTGTGCGTGCGTGTGCGTG